CAATGGAAGTCAATTGATATCTAACTCTTTGTTTCTGGATTACCGTTCCAAAAGGTTATTCTTAATAGAGATATCCACTTCCACTGCGAAACGAACTATTCACTGGCAAGTTCGCTCAGACCACATTGGCTGATCCCCAAGAGCTCCCCTTGGTGTTGAGGGGCTTCAGGGGTCCAGAGGGGTTTGGACCCCGCACTAGACTGCTTGAGGTTACAATCCGACCAATTCTCTGAGCAACCCGTCCACGGCTCATTTCCCCATAGGTACAACAAGTCGGTGAAGTCAATTTTCCTTTTCGTCAAGCCCAAATCTTGCGTCTCTCGTATCAATTGAGCGTCTGATTTGTTTCGCTCCAACTTTTGTTTCAACATCCCCAAACCTTCCTCCATCAGCTTATACCCCGCTTCATAATGTCCGATACCAAGGTCTACCACGCCAGCACGACTGCGCCTGTCAACATCGCCGTTGTCAAGTAAACACTACACTTCCATCGCATCTTGAAGGCCTTCACTCATACGATACAGATACTGGGGAAAGCGCGATGCTAAGCTCAACCTCCCTACCAACAGCTCCCTCTCGGTAACCCTCTCGCAAGCCGATCTCCGAACCCTCACAACAGCCTCGTGCTCGAGCACCTTCACCGATGGCGACAGCCTCACTCTCAACGGAGAGTCCTCCGACATCTCTGGCGCCCGAACCCAAGCTTGCTTCCGCGAGCTTCGATCCCGCCGCGCAGCTCTCGAGGCCGCCGACTCTTCGCTCCCCAAGCTGTCTACATATCCCCTGAAGCTTGTCTCCGAGAACAACTTCCCCACTGCTGCTGGCCTTGCTTCCTCAGCTGCTGGTTTCGCTGCGCTCGTCCAGGCCATCGCTCTTCTGTATGAGCTTCCCGACTCACCTTCTGATCTTTCGCTCGTCGCTAGACAAGGTTCTGGATCTGCTTGCCGCAGTCTGTTCGGTGGATATGTCGCGTGGAGAATGGGCGAGAAGGAGGATGGAAGCGACTCCAAGGCCGACCTTGTCGCCCCCGCTTCACACTGGCCTGACATGCGAGCTCTGATCCTCGTTGTCAGCGCCGCCAAGAAGGGTGTCTCTTCCACCTCTGGCATGCAGCAGACCGTTGCTACATCTGGTCTCTTCAAGGAGAGAATAGCAAACGTTGTCCCCGCCAACATGACCGCTATGGAGGAGGCTATCAAGAACAAGGACTTTCCCAAGTTCGCCGAGGTCACCATGCGCGACTCCAACTCTTTCCACGCTACTTGCGCCGACACCTACCCTCCCATCTTCTACATGAACGACGTTTCCCGCGCCGCCATTCGTGCTGTTGAGTACATCAACGAGAAGGCCGGCAGGACCATTGCGGCTTACACTTTCGACGCTGGTCCCAACTGTGTTGTCTACTACGAGGAGAAGGACGCTGATACCGTTGTCGGTACTTTCTACCAAGCGCTCCAGGGTGTTTGCGGCTTCAAGGAGGGTGCTGCTAGCGCCAAGTCTAGCGTTGAGCTTGAGAGTGCTCTGGCTTCAACTTTGAAGGAGGGCGTGAGCAGAGTTATTTCCACTAGTGTTGGCGAGGGTCCTATCAAGACTGATGAGTTCCTTGTTGGAGAGGATGGTCAGGCTGTTCGACGATAGATGGGGATGCAAAAGATCTAGTGAAGTAAATAGCATGTTGGAATGATATATACAGATAAGTTTGAAGTTGAAACAAAATGAATTATAATATTTTACGTTCTGGAAGTGATCCCATTCATCATTATCTCTGCTGCCCATCATGATCATGAGGAAACGTCGTTGATCCTCCACATCGCCGTGTGGGGCCGTCCAAACTCACCTCCACGCCTTCAATCGGCTCCGGGGACTTTACGAGTCTCCACCAAAGATCAATGCCTGCCTACAAAAGAGACATCTTTGGGTTTTCTAAATCCTAGTCACGCCGCAGTTCTAAGGGCGCATTGTACCTGCTGGTCGCACTGACACGTCTTCGCCCTGCGGGGCACTGCTTGTGTCACTGCAACATGTGGCGTAACACCGCTGTGAGCTGCCTGTAGCTCACAGCCTCCAACTCTCATCCTTACAACCTCACAACACCATCGCGATGGATGGCCTAACGAACCTCCTGGGTCGGGGCGAACCTGTCGAGATCGTGGAGCTGGATAAATCGGGAAATGTCTCACGTACCTGGAATCACACCGTTGACAACCATGTACGTTGCTTTACTTTCGCCTTTGGAGTATGAGTATCATGGCTAACTAAGCTTCAGGTCGTTGCCAAGTCCAAACCTAGCATCCCACTCATTCCCTCTCTGCGTGAAGCTTTCATGCCAGTCGGGTACCCTCACTCTGTGTCATCCGACTACCTAAACTACCAATTCTTCGACTCCCTTCAAGCTTTCTTCTCAACCATCACTTCCCTCCTCGCCAACCGAGCTCTCCTCCAAGGTCTCGGCGTCGGAGATGCCAACTCGTCCGCCACATTCGCGATGTTGCTCACAGTCCTCAAGGACGCCATGTCTCGCATTGCCACTATTGTCTTTGCCCAACAATTCGGTCTTCGTATCGAACCCGATGCCAAGCGCTTCCGCTTCCTGGCCGATCTTTTCAACGACACTGCCTTCTTCCTGGAGCTGTACAGCCCGTACTTTGGGCCCTATGGAAAGATCCTTGCTTTGACTTCTGGAGAGACGTTGCGGGCGTTGTGTGGCGTGGCCGCTGGCGCCAGCAAAGCTGCTCTTAGTGTACACTTTGCAAAGCATGACAACCTCTCTGAACTCAATGCCAAAGAGGCCAGCCAAGAGACCGCCGTGGGCCTTATCGGCCTTCTTGTTGGAACTATCGTGGTCAAGTATGTCGAGGACCACCATAGCGTTCTATTCCTGATGACTATTCTCGTCTTTGCTCATCTCTGGATGAATTACCTTGGAGTTCGAGCTGTGTGCATGGACAACCTTAACCAGCAGCGTGCAACCATCCTGTTCGAAGAGTATCTCAAGACCGGAAACGTGCTCTCTCCCGAACAAGTCGCCCACCGTGAGAATATTCTTCTCTGGCGACCCGTCGTCCGAAACCAGCATGGACAGAAGATCGCACGCATCGAAATGGCCAAAAGCTACTGGAACGCCATGGGCGCCAAAGCTCCCGACAGCAACATTGTCATTATCGACGGGGCCCGGAACTCACTCTTTGTCTGGTATCACTCGAAGCGCAGCTACACACCCATCAAGATCATGCTGTGGCAGGACGCCAGTGCCGTCCACGCCATCAGTGCTTGGTTCATGGCCATGGAGATGGCCTGGCTTCTTGAGAAGAGCCAGGGCTACACTGACAAGCTGGATAAGATCTTCCGCGTAAAGGAAACCGTCGATGGCTACGAACAGAAGTACGACAAGCGTGAGCTCTGGGATGAGATGCTCGCTAAGGGATGGAACATCGAGTCGCAGGCCTTTGAGACAGGTGCGCCTGTTCGTCTGCTTGCGCAGCTGGAGGGGAAGAAGGATCAGTAGTTAGACTAGTGGTTCTCGGCGTCAAGGCGAAAGGGAATAATATCCTAAAACATGAAAATTGATTCAATGGAGATTTATGCTAGTCATCCAACCCTCTCTATGCTTTTTGCCCATGTTGTACATTTTCCAAACGCCCTCCGATGAATCACTCATACATCATACAGATTTTATACAGCAGTTCGTCCTTATGCTAGGAACGCCCATTTCTTGGCTCGCATCTTAACGCCCTCCCATGTATTCAACTTCGGCCGCACATCAAGATAGAAGCTAGGTCCGCCTTTTCCGTCTGGTCGTCCGGCGTAAAAGTCGATAACGTAGTCAACCCTCGTACCGCACCGGTCGATGACCCAATCGTGTCGGTCGAACGGCGCCGTGTAGCCGAGTATAGTATTGAAGCGGGCGGTGGGAGTCATACGATCCATCTTGTTGGCAAAAGATTCGAGCTTGGGGCCACCACATCTAACACAATTAGTTTCCCTCCTACCAATGGAGATGATGTAGCCTTACTTGGTGCCCTTGAGATACGGCGCTTCCCACTCCTTGATCTCTTTCCAAGCTCTTTCATTAACGGCATTGTGGATGGGCACAACGGTCTTCATGTCTGCTACCCTCGCATCGTAACCCTTTCGCTTCATTGCATCGAAGAACATCTTCTCCGAAGGATAGACCCAGTTGCCGGAGGGATCTATACCTGTTTCCATTTCGTGATTCGCAGGCTTTACAGGTTCTTTCCCATGATCTACTGGACACGCCGCAGGTCCGCTAAAGGTTCGTGGAATCGTGGATACAACGCGGTCGGTGTCAAGAGCGTCGTTGGAAGGAATTTGCGTAGGCGGCGGTGTAGGTTTGCTCGAGGGCCATGGGAGATATGACGAGAATGTTTGAGACCATGACTTGGACTGTGCTTGCGCTGTGTGGTCGACTGGACATCCAGCTGCTTTTGCTTTTGCGGCTTCGGCTTCACGGGCTTGAGCGAGCCATGCTTCGCGGGATTTGTGATCGACGGGACAGGCGTCTTTGTCTGCCATGACGAGGATGATACGCGGTGTTATCGTTGGGAAGGGTTGGGTTTCGAGAGGTTCAGTTGCAAGGATTCAGAAAATGGCGTAATTGATCATGGATGGATCGGATCGTAAATGCGCCGGAACGGATTGGTTTGGAGGCTTGCAAAGAAAAATAAAATGGGCCAGCTCCGTGTTTTTCCCGCAAGCCGCACGGGCAGGGAGGTCCGGGCCGGAGGCTAACCTACATCGCCGACTTCACTCCACCAATGAATGGCCTGTATTAAAGTATCCCAGTTTAGTTGAGATTTCTTCAAGTTATGATGACTTTTCAGACTTTAGGCCTCACTTGTATCATATTATCCAAGTTTAGGAGAGGTTTCTTGAAGTTATGATGACTCTTCGAAATTTAGGCCTCACTTACTCAAACTTTACCAGAACAAATATGGATTCTATTATCTCACTACTCTCTTGCTCGGAATACACTCAGTGACTTAGTCGCGATCGAAACGCCCTCGAACTCCTGGAGCATTTTTCCACGTCATAACCCGGATAACAAGCGGGGGCAAATCTCTGCCCGTTCGCGACGCAATAGAAGCCTGCTTCATCTTTGAGTAGACCCATTCCACGCCCGTTGCGTACTTTTTGACGATTGCTCCGGGCACTTCGTAGTAGATTCTCTGTCGCGCATTGAATGTCTTGGGAGGGACCTGATTTTCAGTTTGTATGTAATCCCTATAGTAGTTCGTCGTAACGCCGGTGACCCTCCTTGGCTTGATGATGATATCTTGGGGCTTGACGATGATGTACAGAACTCGAAGTCGGGGAAATCGTCGTAGAAGATCCGTCGGATGTTCAAAAGGACATCCAGGGTCGATGGCTTGTAGGGGTAGATACTGATTTATGCGGCGTACAGTACCAGTTTCCCAAAAAGCGCCTATAAACTTGATTGAGGGGAATGTTCCCTGCGCGGTGGAGTCGTGAAGTCTGCAGATGATTAAAAGGTCGTTAGAGGCATCAATTGTCTCTCTCCTTTTTCCTGCCCACGTGTCGGGTTTGACATTGAAGTGCATATCGGTGAAGTTACCGATCTTATTGAAATCCATGTAATCGAAAGACTTGGATTTGCTAGCCTGCCACTGCCTTTTCATCTCCCTCGTTCTTGCTTCTGAGAGGTCACAGGTTTCCATCAATGTTGTATATGTTCCCAGCGGGTTCGGAGGTATGTTGAGGCCTTCGTTCGAAGTGACTTTAAGTCGCAGTGGCTTATCTATGACGGGGTATGCCAGGAACTCAGCGAAGTGGGCGGTTGGCTCGTTCAAGTGACTGCGCGCGGGGATTTCCTAGATCATCTCCTGTAACTCTGAAGGGAGCTTGGGGAACACCGTGAAAGACATGATGAACCAATCGTTTGTATGATGATTGTGATGATGATGATGATGATAATGTGGATGATGTGTGATGTGTGATGTGTGATGTGGGTGTGGATGTGTACAACTTGAGATGGGGAGGAAAGAAAACTCAGGATCCTGACCCTAGATGACAAAAAGACTTAGGTAATTTAGCATAAGCTTAGTATAGATACCTTTGTTGGGTTCAGGATGACCTTTGCTGAGTTTAATTTGACATCCTGGACATGGCAAGTGCTACGTACCTCTATTACCACCTAAGGAAGGCACCGTGCCTTACAATCGCCAAAGTTTAGGTGAAGTTTATAAGAATAACCATAAATCTTAGGGTTGCTTTGAAAGATTTGATGAGTGAGGCCTAAACTTAGAAAAGCCATTTTATCTTGGTACAAGATGTCAAGTTAGGTACAACACCATGGACGGTTAAACTACTATACCAAAAAGTAGCAGTGTATTACTTATTATTATAACACTTATTTAGCACTGTGGCAGTCAACAGGCTGTTAGGGAAACCCCAAAGCATCCAATGTGATAGAACGCAGCTTCCCCCTCACTTCATTTCATTGGACTACGAAGCATCTTGCCCCCCCTGAGTATAGCACGTGTAGGAGAAGTCAGTATTGTGTCTGGATATAGATACCTGCTCAGACATTACGATCTCGGGATATCATGAATGGTTTTATTCTAGCTGGAAAGTCCTGGTGATAGCTACGTGTAAATATGCAAATGAATCCATACGATGTGGTTTCTACTGGTATGTGAAGACCAATGACTCCCTTAGTTGCAACTCATTCTGCAAGGCATACCCCGAGATCAAGCCGTATTGCCCACCTCACGGTAACTCTTATACTTCCTCATATGCCAATCAATGCTCTTCCACCGCTCGCCCTTCTCATCCTCAAACTCAACGTCCATTCTCGGCCTCATAAAGTACGCGCATGAGAACCTATTCTCAATCGTCTCACCCGGGTACGGAGCAACGCGGTGCACTACAGACCGGAATTTTCTCCCCGAGAGGAAGCGGAGCGAGTCGCCTACGTTGACGACTGCGCAGCCGTCGCGAGGCTCCACGGAGCGCCACTCCTGTGTGTCCTGGTTGAACGTCTGCAGACCGCGATCGCCGCAGAAAAGGATGGTCAGGCTGCCGACGTCGGTGTGGGCGCTGAGGCCGGCGTTGGGACCTTCGGTTGAGAGGGAGGGGTATCGCTGGACGGTCATGCACGAGGTTGACGGGTCCGTGGGGAGATGTTTGGGCGCGAGTGGTGAGCTTGTGTTGCGCCTTGCGTCGTGACTGATCTGGTCCAGGGCATCGAGCAGTCCTAGACCAATCTCATGGAGCTTGTCCATGACGCTGACCAGAAGGGTAGCTTCATCTTGCGGTACATGTGGTAGGGAGAGGGTATGCCCGTCTACGATGGGGTTGCATATGCCATCTCGGGGAAACTGGTAGGATAGCGTTATGTTATTCACAGTTCACCGATGAGTGAACTCGTTGGAAAACTTACGGTGTATCCTTCCACGCCATGCTTCTTCCCATCTCCAGCAAGGCCCGCGTTCCTCCCGAAAGGCGTGTAACTACACTCAAGAAGTCAGAACGAACACAACAATGCCGCAGAGTTGAGGATGAACTCACCCATTGAGCTTCCAGGGGCCGATTGTGTCGACGTCATACTTCATCTTCGTATCCTCGTCCAGCTGGAAGAAATTGTTCACGGCCTTATATACCAATGGTATCTCTTTGGTGACTGGTGTAGGCTCTTTGTTAGCACTCTGGAGATCCAGGTACAAGAACCCGTCCTTTTCACATGCTCTTCGGAGAGCGGACAACTCATTGGCGTTTCCTTGCTTGATCCTTATATACGAGATGGTTGTAAAGTCAGCGGACTCGGGTGAAGGGACCTCAGTTGTGTTGGTGATCGTGGCTGTGGTTGACATATTGGCCGGCTTAGATGGTGAGTATACTTCTTGAGGCAAGGGGTCGAGAACCGGCATCATAGGATTCCAGAGACTGTGAGCCTCTGATATATCATGATACTAAACGGCTGGAATGCCGTTAAGATTCCCGAATATGTCCATGTCCCGTAAGCGAAGAATCAATCGCCTTTGACACAAGTATTGGACGCCACCCATATTGTGCTTTGAGTACGCATGCAGTGTCACTCATGCAGGGTTCGCCAACCAGCATCATCATTGGTGTAAGTCGGTATAAGTCAACATTCTGCGGGGTCATTGGTATCCATTTCGTGCAAGTCACTCCTGTAAAAGATCGATTCTGACACTACATCGCATGAGCTTATCATAGGTTGACATCGGTATAGGGATCGCCTACTGGGCCCTGGCCGTGGGAGTCTTTTGAGTCCGCACCCAGTTCCAATCCTTCGTCTATGCTATTGCGGCACAGATCACAATGAGCATCCCAGGCCTCCCCGTAGAGGGATCGCCGCAATCTTACTGGCAGCATGAAGCCCAGAAGCAACAAATACCTCCAAACACTGAACCTCTCCCAAGCTCATGCGATGTGGCTATTGTGGGCGGCGGTTATGCAGGCATTGCTACGGCATACCACATACTGAAGACGGCATCTCCGCCACCAAGTGTGTTCCTCCTGGAGGCAAAGGACCCGTGTTCTGGAGCTACAGGACGGAATGGAGGACACCTGCGCCCTGACTACCTGATGGGAGCTGCGAGAAACTCCAAGAGGTACGGTGCCTCTGCGGCGGCCGAGATTGTGCAATTCGAAGCCCGTCATCTCGACGTGATGAGGGCTCTCATCGAGGCGGAAGCTATTGACTGCGACTTTGCGGAGACAGAGAGTCTCGCTGTTCTCACAACCACTGGACAAGTCACCATGGTGCGTGAGGCATATGAGGACTTAAGGCAAGCGTCGCCTTTCAGTGATACCCTGCTAGAGGTGGTAGAGTTCTACGAGGGTGATGATGCACCTGAGCGTACAGGATTGCGAGGTGCAAAAGGCTATTTCTCCACGCCTGCAGCTCGGGTATCGCCCTACAAGCTTCTCACGGCTCTTTTGGCGCGGTGTGTTGAAATGGGGCTCTCACTAAAGACCCATACTACGGTGGCATCAGTTGAGCATGCTGAATCAGACGGTCATGCCCTCAAAATGCGCTTGGGAGAAACTATGACAGCTAAAAAAGTCGTCATTGCCACCAACGCCTATACCTCAGCACTTCTCCCCGAGTACGCGAGTTGTATCGTGCCCTGCAAGGGACTTGTATGCCACATCACAAGTCCTAAGGACAAGCCACTGCCGAAACTCCTCGCCGCAAGTTATGCTATAATGGAACAGGACCCCATCTCTAAGAAGACCGGATACAACTATATGGTACAACTGGAGGATCATAGCATAATCGTCGGTGGCGCTCACCACAAGTACGATGAGAATGACCCAGAGAGCTGGTACAACAATGTCGACGACACGCAACTCATTGAGCCGGCGCGACGGTACTTTGCAGATGACTACATGCAGCGGACGTTTGTTGGATGGGAGGAGTCAGGCGCGCGTGTTGACCGTGTTTGGACAGGGATAATGGGGTATAGTACTGATTCGCTTCCTCACGTAGGCGAGGTTCCCGGTAGAGATGGTGTATTCGTAATTGCTGGGTTCCACGGACATGGTATGCCTCTTATCTTCTCAGCCGCGGAGGGCATTGTGGCCATGACTCAGGGGCTGGCGTACGAGAAGACCGGAATGCCATCTTTGTTCAAGACATCTAGGGATAGGCTGGAGTCAGAGAGGAATGACATCCTTGCTGGAAGGGGCATACGGTTGACGAAGGAGTAGACCTTGAATACTGTATGTTTATATATATAAGGACACTATACAAACTAGACTATGTACGTATGAGACAGCACTTCAAAAAATGCGTATCTTCCTGGTACTCTTGACCACCTGCCAAGTCCCGAGACTCCAGACCTAACTAAAATTTGTCTTCAGTCCTTTCGAAAGCCTGCTCAAAGTCCGCAATTATATCCCTTGCATCTTCTATCCCAAGCGATAACCTCACAAGGTCTTCGTCCACCCCCATAGACAGGTTCTCCTCCTTGGTGAAGTGCTTATGCGTTGTTGACCAGTGATGCCCAACCAGTGTCTTAGAGTCGCCAACATTCGTTGTGTTGATGATCATCTCAAAAGAGTCGATCAGCGAGATAGCCTCCGCCGCACCGCCTTTGAGCCCGAACGTGATGACAGTGCCAAAGCCCCGCTGGAAATATTTGAGGGCAAGTTGGTGGTGAGGGTGATCTTGGAAGCCTAGATAGCGCACCCAGGCAACTCGAGGATGGGCTTGCAGCCAGAGGGCTAAGGTCTCGGCGTTTTTGGACTGACGCTCGCAGCGAACCGAGAGTGTTTCTACCCCTGAACACAGTGAGTCAGACCAGAGCTCGTCTTCATGAGAAGATACAGTTTTGATTCTTACCAATGAAAAGCTGTTGAGCTGCAAATGGACCAAGGCATGGTCCGGTATCACGCATGTATTCAGTCTTGAGATACTGCATATACGCCCTATCACCAGCAGCGGCATACCAATCGTCCTGCTCACCCTGCAGCCCCGGAAGCTGCCCATAGAGACCTGGAAAGCGAATCTTGTTGGTCTGCCAATCCGAACGCCCAGTCTCAATAACGAGACCGCCGAGAGTAGTGCCATGGCCTCCTATCCACTTGGTGGCGGAGTGGATGAGGATGTCGGCGCCCCATTTAGCAGGTTGACAGAAATAACCAGCTGCGGTGAGTGTTGCGTCAACCACAAGGGGGATCTTGACATGTTCTGAATGTGCGATTGCCGCGAGAGCTTCAAAGTCGGGGACGGAGAACATGGGGTTTCCGAGAGACTCGGCAAAGATGAATTTGGTTCTGTCGTCAATAAGTGATTTGACATGCTCAAGATCGTTCACATCACAGAAACGTGATTCGATACCGCTATGAGCTCAATTTAGTCCCCAGGCTTCCCAACACACAAAAGACTTACAGCTGGGCTTGAGCCTTGCGGAACTGACGATAAGTTCCACTATGAATGCTTGTAGACACGATGACATTATCTCCCCTTCCTGCTAGCGATGCAATGACGCCCAAGACTGCCGCACTGCCTGATGAGAAAGTGAGGGCGTCTCTGCCATCCTCGAGGGCGGCAATGCGTTTCTCAAGTCCATCGTGAGTCGGCTGCGTACCTGTATTAGAAACAGTCGTACGTACCATTAGGAGACAGACTCACATTAGATACCCGGGTATACAAATGGTTTTGGGAGCTTGATATGTCACCGAGGGCTACGTTCAGAGCTGCTGAAGAGCCGAATTTGAACGAGGCGGTGTTATAAATGGGAAGCGTGCAGTGGCCATACTTTGGGTCTTCTTCCAGCCCTGCATGGATCTGGATGGTGTCGAATCTCCATTTTGGCTTGTTCTTGACAATCCCATTAGTTGAGGCCCGCGATGGCCTTTTCTCCGAGGTCCCGTTGGCGTGTCCATTTGTGTTATGTTCTTTCATGCTGGGCTGTAGAGTGACAGATCTGGCGTGTGCGGTCTTGGAAATTGAATAATATCAAGATAGGGAGACTGTATAGGGCGAAGAGAACTAAGGAGCCAAACTGCTGGGAATTTGGCTAGATAGCCACCCATGTGAGGGAGCGGCCTGCACCAGCACGTCCACTTTGGTGCCATTGCCTCTGACTCTGCAGAGTCATAGGCGGATCTTGACCCTTTCAAGTCTTTCCTTATGTAAGTATTACATGCATAAGCTAATCTTCATGGGTAAGGTAATCAGGATACAAGTTATGTATTACGTGGATTGGGTGGCATTGCCTTTGTATCATTTAAGAAGCATGAGAGTATGAGGATGAGCATTGGATATTGGATAGTAACATTGCTCTGGCATTCTTTTAGTATCTACGAGATATGTGTATCCCAGTCATCGTCTTTCGAAAACACCAAGGTTGACTGAGCAACTCCTGTATGAATATAAAACACTTGTGACTGCTGAAATACATGAGACCCCTCACCATATGGCGATACATCTAACTTCAATACTCCAACGAGCAGATCCGTAAGCAGCATCGCCAAGATCAGGACTCGCATGAGGCGCGCCCCCAATATCACCAGACACCAAACCTCCCCCAAGAGCAGCACTGTCGAAAAACTTGAGCACAATGACCTCGTCTGGCTTTTGCTCCGGGAGATAGTACCACTGCGGACTCTCCAATCCACTCGCCGTCAACCCCAAGTTCTCGTATGCTCTTGCATCCGCTTCACTGATAACCACAGATTCCAGCTCTCGCAGAAAGTCACCACCCATAGAAGGCGCAGCTAACATTCGAGACTCATACCCTAGAAATCCTAAAGCCCCGTCCTTGGGGAAAGACCATCGAGGCGCCATTGCTAACGGATCCCGCGTAACTGTTCGCATGGGCCGCCAGATACTGTAGGCTGCGTAACGCGGTCCCAGCTTGCCGCCCGCGTTGTACTTTGCATCGATGATATCGTTGCTCGCCTTGTCTTGAGCGTCAAGCTTAGCTGAGGCGCAAATGTTGTCCTCGGCGTCGATGATTCCGGCTTCAAGCGCGGCTTTGCGAATGTCTGGCCTCCAGCGGCGGATGGAGCGCCGAGCACCAACAGGCGTATAGTCTACATGTGCTCCTCTCGCAGGCCTCGAGTTGTCAAAAGATGCAAGATGAGTTGGCCGAGTTTCATCTGATGCTTTGTAAGCATCAGGCACGCTCTTCTGGTCTTTGCTATTGACGACCACCGAGCTACCGGTTCCATTCGCAGGTTTCTTAACCGGCGCATCACCTCTTCGAACGATGCTGTTTGTGATGAATACTTGGCTCGCCCCTGTCAATTTGAGGACAGACTCTTTCACTTCAGGGAAATAAGTCTCCTCTAAAGTCTGCAAGTCATCGTAATCTCCGGCCTGCACCTCGTCATCGACTTTGGCCCATTTTGGGTCAAACTTAATAGCAGTGAAGCCATAATCCTTCAAGATCTCTGCAGAATGCGACCAAGACCAGTCTGCGCCGTTGGGAAAAGCTACTGCGCGCAGATCATGTAGAGCGTATGGCACAGGAATCTGCTTTATGTTGGGGTTGTTCGTGTAGCCCCTGTTCCAAGCTTCTTCCGAGGTATGTCGCACGCCATCATCGACCTGATACTTGATAGTCGCGATTGGTGGCGGCTGATCTGTCTGAGAGGGTTGTTTGGCCTTGGACGCATAACTAGACATGAAGATGAATACGAAAGTCGATACCTTAGATAGATGTCTGTAGGGGCTGTTGGTGATTTCCGACAGCTCGAAAAGGGGAGGCATCTACACTCATAACACTGGCTCATGATATACACACCAGGTCAGAGCCATACTGACCATGCCTCAGGGTGTCAAGAGACCTGATAGGTACCCTAGGTCAAGCGGTATCTATCATCCAGGTACAGCACTTTGCCGGTCTAGTGCTTTTGCCACACCACTTCCAAGTGTCAAGTTTAGTTTGTTGCCATCCTCCTGCCGTGCAGCTGTGTAAGAATTGTAGTGATGTGCCGCCCGTGTTAACCCCCCGAGCCACATGCAAACGCTCCAAGGATTATCTATCACGCAATGGTGCTAGTTAGCAAGGTGGCTGATTGCAGGGCTGTTGGCTCAAATCAGATAGCTATGCTCTAACTAGGTAGATGGCCATCACTACTCATTTCAGTTAGTAGGATCAACACATCCTCCGGTATCTGTTTTCCCCGACAAATAGTCCATGGCTAACTCACTGACACAAGTGACAGGCGAGGCGCGCAGTCATAATCTGCTCTTGCGCCCGCTGTTCTGACCATGCATCGACGGCTGCAACGACATCAACAAAAGGTCCTGACGCAGGCAGCCTTCCCATTCGTCTTTGACATGCTTTGTTTCCAGGACAAAATTTGATCATTGGCTGGACCATGATTTATATCCAGTACCATTCATTGTTCACCGTCAATTGATACAGTACAACCGGACGTAAGCTTACAAACTATTTAAGCTTACTCTCAATCTTACACTACGGACGGTACTGGGAAGCCAAGCCGGGACCTAAGATGCTGTCGGGCTCCGGAGAATAATATTGATTGACTAGGCCCCTATTGAGATCAGCCAGATCGATACAGTTAGGATCAGATCACAGTCCAAGGTAGTTATGCCCGTTAATTCCCATTAATGACCTCTTATCAGTGGAGTTCGTATACATACGAGGTGCGCCGGCATCTTGTTGTTTTGGGATATGGGTGATTGCCAGAAGGAATCTGTCTAGTCTGTATATGTGTACGGCACGGCCGACAAACGCGATTATGATACCTCAATGATCTCATGAGCCACTCCAGTTGCCTGTTTTGGTAGGTATATGATATTATGCGCATGCAAGAAACATACCCTTAAGGCTGTAGCCAACTTCTCGCCACGCCACGAACCCTGCTGCTCTACTTTGCTGACGCCTGGAGGGAGTGTCCGGGGTCCAAAATGCGCAAAACTTCCTCCGTCGACACGTTCAGAGTCGTAGTTTGCGCGTTCCTGATCGCCAAGGATTATGCCGTGGAGCCGTAGTATACGCCATCACCATTGTTTATTAGTATGGACCGCCACTCTTAAGGCTGGGTGGGAGGTTTCTAACCAGTCTGGAGGTTTTGGAAGTCGGATTTCTACTGTGCCTGCGTGCATCAAAGACAAGCTCTATGTCGCTGGCAGGGTCAATACCTCTTGGTTCTCAATTGAAATGGAAGAGCTTGAAGCCTGCGTCCTCTTCCCATCGCCGAAGCAGCAGGAAACGCAGCGTCTCCGCGAACGCAACAGAATTGCCAAGAGGGCATCGAGTATGTTACTACGATCTTAGTGCAACTACCTTCTCTTCTCGGTGCTCACAAGCCTTAGGAGCGCGCCAACGGCAGCGTGAGCAGCACAACGACACTACTGCAGACGTCGCAGTACAGCCAACGCCAACTGCAGAAGCAACTTCGCAGGACTTGGCGGTGCCATTGCACCCGCCACAACACCCTGGTTCTGGCTCTGGCTCTGGTTCTGGCTCTGACTCCGCTTGTGTACGGGCCGAAGCGTCGGAAGACCTTGGCGTCTGGGCACTAGACGGCCCCCTAGACGACCCTACCGCCCTGCCCTGGCCCTCTTCTCTTGATGAGGACTGGCCTGGTTTTAGTGGTTCACTAGTGGATACGCTTAGCCCTCGTCAGCTCTCAGTCTCAGTCTCAGTCCCGGGAATATCCAACCCAGAGCCGCGAGCACCGCCTACGTCTTCGAGTTCACTCACCTCCGACTCCAACGATTCCAACAGCAGACCATCTAGATTACTACACATCGCCGCTCGCAATGGAACAACCGGCATTCTGCTCTCGCTGATCAAGGCCGGCGCAGATGTGAACTCGCGCGACTGCTCCGGCACAACTCCCCTCCATATCGCTGTACGCTTTCGACGTGCAAGTGCTCTCGAGCTGCTAGTGAATCACGGAGCAAATATCAATGCCCGAGACTCGGCCAACATGACGGCCCTCGAAGTAGCTGTGAGGGCTCAAGACGAAGAGCTTGTCAACATTCTCCTCTCTGGTGGAGCTGAGCTTCATTGATTAATTGATTGGCTAGAACAATCACTATTTGAGACAGATAATTCTTTTTAGTATCGGGGCTGGCAGCATAACTAGATATGGGCGTATAGCAATAAACGAGCAATGCCTTTTTTGATCTTGATGGTATGCGACTTGTGCTCTTGAGCGTCTGATCTTCCTTCGCTATTGAGGACCATCTTGTCTTTGCGGTGATGGAGCATGATTGGTTACGCCGTATCATAGACACAAATGCTCACAGGGACGATCAAGATTGTTCGTCCTGTAAAGTTTGTAGGAGGTGTGGCTTAGGGGCCCCAAGCAGAGGACGCAGCACGCCGCTTCTACCATTCCGGCGTCCGCGGCAAGAGGTTACCTCCCGTTGCTCAGGTTTCTTGTGTGATGTTGAAAAAGAAGCGATCGTAACGTCATGTAGTCGCATCTCGGTCATTGTTCACTCCTGATGTGTATCAGTAAAGTGTCTCGGTCTCCTGGATTGATAATGTACATTGATACAAGCGTCTAGCCACCCAAGACACGCGTCGCTAACTCGTCAAAGATTTCTTGCTTTATTTGCTTCACGAAGTATTCGTCTTTTCCATTCTCGACCCAAGACAATCTACGCTCCAGTGACTCAATGTCGTCTCGAATTTCTATTATTGCAACCTCCTCTGTATCCTTCTCGCTTCTTTGCGCGGTTTGTAGTGATGCGACCTCTGCCTCAAGATCCTCCTGCCTCTTCTTCATACGCTCTACTTCTTCACGGAGCTGAGCGTTCTCAGCTCTCAGCTCTATGACCACCTGTGACTGGTCTGTAGACTGGGTAGTCTCAGCTTGTGACTCGTCAGGCTTTGGCTTCTGGTCTCGGAGCTTAGCATTCTCAGCTGTTAGCTCCCCAACCTTGTTGTGAAACAAGGACTCTAGCTTCTGTAGCTTATCCCAGACTTGGCTGATACTATCGGGTCCTTGAGGACTGTCCTGTCGAGGTCGTTTGCGTTGGTATGAGGGAGCGCTCGGCGGTTGTGAGTGTGGGCTCGTCGCCTTCTCATATGATGGAGGTTTGGGTGCAGCGAGGTTTGTAGCTTTTGCTCCGCTGCCACTGAACATGCGCGAAATATCATACTCGGGGCCAGAAAAGGGTTCGAGATGACCTTTGGTTACTGTGTCGCTGATGGAATTGAGTTGGTCGAGGGATAATAGAGAATCTTGGATATATATTCGTAGAGCAATGGCATGGGATAGCTCGTAGAGAGAGTCCAGAACCTTGCCAGACCGTGGTCGGGAGGCTGATACTGGCTCTTTGACGTAGCTGGGGACGAGCACGGCGATAGAGTTGCTCAGTTCAAACTCGAGACATGTGGCAGAGTCAAACCTCTGGTTTTTTATAGAATCCAAAGTGTCAATGTTTGTGGAGAAGCGGAAACATGTGATGAATAAAGGGCTAATTCGCAAGAAAACCGCCGCACTACTCGGCTTGTCTTTAAATTTGACAGGAACAACTATCTCGAAATGGGCGCGATGTTTGTCGTGGGTCGAATCGGTGTGTATCGTAAATCGTATTGGGACATTGTCTGGATCTGGAGTGGCTAAGGAACGCGTCGCGCCCTCCCATTCCCACTCGACGACGGCCGGTGTCTGTTCAATATCGATACATGATGGAGTCGCCATAGTTCGTGCAGTGAATCACATACCGCTGACTGAAATACTAAATGGTCAGTATCACAAAAATCGGCACTTACCTACAAATCCCCAAACTCGACAACGCACACCAAAGAGAAGCCGGCTTCGCTGCCAGGCTACCTGTGACCTCCAGATGAAACTGCTAGGTCGCCCCAAACTCCAGATGAACTGCGAGATATGAGCAGGTCCCTTCTACAAGCCCCGGTTATTCCACAGAGCGAGGCAGAATGCGCTTGCTGGGTGGGTATAATCCGGAATTTTATAACGGCTGTAGCGCGATTCACGGGCTTCTCTCGGTGAGCATTGTTGAGAAAGGGTTCGGTCGGGTCGAGGCGACGTGAGGCAAAGGAAAAATGAGAGAAAGTCTGCTGGGGGATGTGCGTGAAAATTAGAAGGGTTGAAAGAAATAGAAGGTTTCGGGAGCGGAGTTAAATCTGGCGACGGTTGAGAGGGAGAGAGAGATTGAACGATGATGGTAGTGAGCGTGAATTGTGGACTATGAACAGGAGAGGCTCGGCTTCGGCAATACAGTTAGTCCGACAACGTCAAGGCAGCCAGAGTGGGGCGGATCAATCGGCCGCAGTTGTTGAAAGTCGCTAGCTACCTTATTATGTGCAAGGATCGAATATATAATATATATATATACACTTATAAAGAGTTTCAAAAGTCTCCTCATCTAAATAAGTTGAGCGAATGTTGAAGTTCATGGCAGCTCTCTTTTGGGCACACCGTCACTCACAACACCAACTCGATCTCAGATGCTTACTACGCTTCCTCCCCGACTACCAGACTTTCTCTCTCTACCTCTCACAGAACACGACTTCTCAGCGTAATTACATGACTCTATCCATGGCCATACTTGTCCCTCACAAAGGCCTCGTAAACCTCCGGGAATTCCTGAGCCAGCTGGAATGCGTGCTCGCGACTATGCGGAGTATGAAACACCATACACATAGTCCACAGCCAGTCACCCTCCTTGCCACCCAATCTCGTCGCAGGCTCTATGTACACATGGTGTCGTGCCACATGCTTCGTTAAGTCGGGATGAGTCTTGGCCAGTTCCAATATAGGACTATAACTGCTATCCACCGCCTGATGTGCAAGCTGATCCGCTGGATGATCGGGGAACAGGGGCTTGATACGCTCCAAGCTGACAGGCACGATGCAGTTGATGAGCCACGTGTGGTCGGTGACCTCTTGATGGAGAAATGGAGCTGAAAACGCTTCGTATCGAGTCCAATCACTAACGGCGCAGAGAACACCCAACATCCACAAGTCGATACCGCGCGCGATGACGCTCGAGGCTGAGCTCATTGGCCCCGGCATCCTGGCATTGACCTCATGAAGATATACCGGAGTGTCCCCGGAACTTCTGGCTTTCGATATAGGCTCCAGGTCCGGAATCGTTGCGCCTTTCGTGAAAGTGTATTCCATGGACGAGTTGCAAATTCTCGCCTCACAGTGAAACACGCCAGTATCGAAGCCCATTTTACGAATTGCCGAGACCACCTCGTCGGTGATGGCCCGCTGTTCGTTCTCAGGGAGTCTCGAGGGCACAGCCGCTTGCGACTCTGTGAAGAGCTTTCCTGTCGGATCCTCCGCAAGGTCTGCGGAGCAAGGAAAGTCGTCTACAATCTCAGTGTACAGAACCCGGTCCCTGAAGAGGACAACATTACAATCCACTTCAGGCCCGTCGATGTATGGCTCGACCACAACACTGAGATCGGGGAGCTCTTGGCTGACGATGAGAGATTTCTCGACGGCATCACGCAGTTGTGCGGCGTTGTTTGCCCGGTAGACTCCCCAGCTGCTTAATCCAGCGACTGGTTTGCATACAACAGGGAAGTTGACGGATTTAGTAGACTGCAGTCTAAATTCTAGCTCTTTGAGGCTCTGCACCGTGAAGAAGTCTTTCTCATCGGGATCGAGCATCTGGCGCGTGCGATACTTGTTTGTTGAAACCGAGAAAGCCTCTGGTTCTGGTGTATAGAGTCCCAAATCTCTCGCTGCCATAGCCGTTGACACCATGAACGGATCCCACGGTCCCCAGAGGCCGTCTATTGAATCTGGGTATGCCTTGATTGCATCGGCGATTCTTCTCCAGAAACCATCGTCTGTCGTCAAGTCCATACTGATGTAGCCATCTATCAGATACTCATGCGGTGGCTTGTCATCCTTGGACCATGCGCCGGAACTCATAACTACCACTTCGATACCGAGCGCCTTTGCCTTCGCCCATGACGCTCTCTTGGCCGCTATGCGACTCCATATCAGGAAGCATATGCGCCGCTTGCGGATGGGCTCTGGCGAGATGAAAGGAAAGCAAAGCCTTCGTGTGAGTTCAAACTCAAGTTTGTCGATAGCCTCATTGCATAGTTCCAGAGGGGATAGGATAGCACCGATCGACACGTCTAAAGCCTTGAATACGCCATCAATGGTACTGGTGGAGTCCGAAGGAGCTGCTATTTCCTGAAGTGGCGAGAGAAGTGTCTTGGTCGAAGAAACAAGGGCACAGTCTGCCACCCGAAACGCCCAAGGGTCGGCATGCCCTACGAAGCCACTCACTCTAGGAACCTGGAACACGCACAGGGCTTCTTGCGCGATGCATTCCTGGAGAAGCGCAGCGATGGCTGAATCTTGATTCTTTCTGAGCTGAGAAGCCTCCGACTGAGAATCATTGTGTGAGATCCATACCCCGGGACCGAGGGAGGTTTCCAGTGGTTCTGAGTTGCGAACTTTGGGCGCAATGTACAAATTGTGGAATTGCTGAGCCTCGTTTCCATTTTGCTGTACATATCGCCACTCACACTCGAGTGAGACTGACAGAAACCTGTTAGCATGGATGTCTGTGCTCTGATCACATAAACTGACCTTGGTTATCTGGCAAGTTCAGCCAGATGTAGAGCCGTGTTTGTTCGGCCATTGCGGAAATCGTACGTAAGTGAGAAGCGTGTGCTTGGATATCAAGACTCAGATAGTTGTTCCCGGGGACCTTATGTTTGAAGTCCACCCTGCGTCGCAAGCACACATCACGTTTCACTGCACAATAAGTTACTAGGTAATGGTACCATAGAGGCTCTGTCCGTGCAGGGCATTCTGACGCTGCATGGTCATGCTGCACGTTGACTTGTGCACAACCAACAACAGCACAAACAGCACTAGTCAAGAGGGCTTCTGGGGGTAGTCAGCCTCTGACCGACCTGACGTTGCGTTTATGGTTGTTTCTTTACGAATAACCATTCCGTGAGCATTCTGGCGACGAAAGCCTAAATTCGTCACCGTAAGGCACGTTATACAGGAGTCAATGCAGCAACCGTGCTCTCCAGTAACCGTAGCAGTAGGTT